GTGTGTGTGTGTGCGCCTGTCATCCCAGAAACAGGAGAAACCCCCAGAGACAGGAGAATCCATGGAGCTTGTTGGCCAGCCAATCTAGTTGAACAAGTAACTCTAAGTTCAGTGAGAGACCTTGCATCAAATATAAGGTGACGAGCACTCAGTATTGACCTCTGGATTCCATATGCATGCTACACACATATGTGCATGTACACCCCCACACACATACATACACAGAAAGAAATGGGCATCAGAATCAACTGGTGAACTTTTTAAAATGAACATGTCGGGGCCAGGCAATTGTAGTCTGAAAGGGTTCTGATGTAAAACCCCACTGATGTCCTTGTGGTCTAAAGCATTTGAGACCCAGGGTAAGCACAGTTTGTCATTCAATAGATCACAGTGATTGCTGAAAATTCCACGGTTTTATTCCCAGCCTCTCTAATAATTTACTTCGCAATCTTGGACAAGCCATTTCCCCACCCTCGTCTCTTTCTTTGTACAGTACTTGGATAAATTAACTAACCGAGGACTCTACCAGTTGTGGTACTCACTGCTATTTGTGACCTGTAGCCTTTAATGTACATAAACCAAGGCATTTCCCTCTCCTTTTTCCTGACTTACAAAACTGGACTTCACTGAGTGGTGGTGGCATACACCTTTAATCTCAGCACTCAGAGGACAGAGGCAGGCTAATTTCTGGGAGTTTGTGGCCAGCCTAGTCTACAGAGTGAATTCTGAGACTGTCAGGCCTACACAGAGAAACCCTGTCTTGAAAACAAACAAACAAACAAAAAAACAAAAACAAAAAAACCCAAAACCCAAACTGGAATTGGACTTCATTGTTGGAGGGAGTGAGCCACTTGTTGGTTTCTGGCTGCTCAGCCCCAAAATAATCACACAGAAACTATTAATTAAACCACTGCTTGGCCCATTAGCTCTAACATCTTATTTGCTAACTCTTACATCTTAATTTAACCCATCTCCATTAATCTGTGCATCACCACGAGGTTGTGGCCTACCAGCAAAGTTTCAGCATTCTGTCTCCAGGCGGCTCCATGGCTTCTCCTGACTCTGCCCTTCTTTCTCCCAGCAAACAGCCTAGCTTTCCTCGCCAAGTTCTGTTCTTCCCTACCATAGGCTCAAAGCAGTTCTTTATTCATTAACCAATAAAAGCAACACAGAGACAGAAGGACCTCACACATCACTTCATCCTGATTTTTCTCTGAAAAAAGGAAGAGCTGTTAGAAAGGGTCCAGGGATGTGACACACGCAGGTTTCTGGTGATGACCTCCCTAGTGAATGTGCCTCTCTTTCTGCAGAGACTGGGCCAGTATGACCCACCCCCAGGAGCCAGTAGCATTTTGGGACTTGAAGCATCGGGACATGTGGCTGAGCTGGGGCCTGGCTGCCAGGGACATTGGAAGATCGGGGATTTGGCCATGGCTTTGCTCCCTGGTGGAGGACAAGCTCAGTATGTCACTGTCCCTGAAGATTTTCTTATGCCTATCCCAAAAGGACTGACCCTATCTCAAGCCGCAGCCATCCCAGAGGCCTGGATTACTGCCTTTCAGCTCTTACATCTGGCAGGTGAGGATGCCTGATGCTAACTTCACACAGCAGGGCTCACCTCCTACGAAGCCAACCTCCCTAAACCTCAGCAGACCTCCAGGACACCCTCTCCAAACCCCAGCAGCCCTCTAGGACACCCAACACCATCCAGCCTACCCTATCTTCCTGTATCAATAACATCGTCAGGTCATCAAACCATGTTAAAAAGGCTTGATACTGGAGCGGTGAGAACTATGAGTAGCAGATGGGAGGTCTATGAATATCTTAACACAAGACCCGGGAACAATCTGCACCTCAAATCATGCAGACTTCTCTTTGGGGCCCAGGGCAATAGAAGAGGCAGACTAGGAGTGTATCTCAGTGGTAGATCATTTTCCTAGCATGCTCAGGGGCCTGCGTTTGATCCTCAACTTTGAAAAAAAAAAGAGAGAGAGAAAAAGGAGGAAATACAGCCATAGAATTTGGGAGAATAGCTCTCTCTGTACCAGCAATTGAAGTCTGAGGTGGGAAAACCTGATGTGAGCAGTGGTGGCTGGAGATGGCTTTTAGGAACAAAACGACCTGAGCTGTGGTAGACAAAATAAGCATCAAGGCAGGCCGAGAAAGTCTCAAAGGGAGGGCAGCCACTGCTCTCAGAGATGAGGGATGGTTGTTGTCGTTAGTAAGAGATGAGGCTGGGTAGATCGAAGGCCTTGAATGCCAGACTGTTTGGACTCAGTGCGAAACCAAAATGTCACTTCCCATTTTGAGAAAGAAAGATGCTAAAGAAAGCTCCATTTGGAGTGCAAGGGTCTGGTGTCTATGTGCAACACTTGGATCAGTAAGACCACCTAAAGGCAGATTCAGACTGAGGGAGGACTGGCTTCAGGTGACGACAATGGGCAAAGGGGGCTACCCTTGCTTTAAAAAGTATGTATGTAGATAAATGCATTTGGGTGTTAGTTTGCATTTCAAATAGGGATAATAGATGTGGCTACCAATAGTTTTGTAACTAAAGTCCATTTCCCATTTGATCAGAGACAGTAAGGAAAAGAGAAAAGAGAGAAAGACAGCGAGAGATACATACAGAGAGAACTGCCAATGTATTCCTTCAGAAAGTAAGTTATTTGGCATTTGGTCCAAGAGTCAGGCGATGAGGATAGGCTATTTCTATAGTGAGACAGAAGGGCTAACAGCTTATGTACTTTCCATCACAGGCCATATTCAAGTTGGAGACTATGTGCTGATCCATGCAGGATCGAGTGGTGTGGGCACAGCTGCCATCCAGCTGGCTCGGAAGGCTGGCGCCATTCCTCTGGTCACAGCTGGCTCCCCACACAAACTTCAGATGGCTGAAAATCTTGGGGCTGTTGCTGGATTCAATTACAGAGAGGATTTTTCTGAAGCAACACTGAGATTCACTAAAGGTAACTCACTCAGCAGACATTAAAAAAAAAAAAAAAGATTAAATGAAACCTTCATCTCCACGGTTGCTGAAAGAACTGTAGCTGCCCTGGACAAACTGGTGGGTTCTGGTGTTTGATTACTAGAGACTAG